AATTTGAATTTGGAATGTGCTCAAACTTTCCAACTAGCATAAGGACATCAATATGTATCAGAAGTGTTGTAAAAATTGAGGGTGATTTTGGAGCCATTTTTTTAAAACCATGGGCTAATAAAAGGCTTGTTGTAAAATGCTGATAGCTCAAAAATTTATTGTTGGAAACAACTTAAACTTTGTATAGTTTGTACATAGCATAAGGGCAGGATTATGTATCAGAAAATACAATGAAAAGCCTGATCCTTTTTTGAAAGAAAAACCATGGGCTATAATCAATACATATAGGTTTTTCAGAAATTTGCTAGCTTTGTTGTTATCAGAATCAGCCCAAGCTTTCTACTTTAACTATTGGGGGGGGGTCACTTGCACTAATAGTCAGATAAAATGTTCATGTACATGTACATGCATCATTGCTTCTACAAGTTTGTGATTTGTTACTATATATAGATGATGGAATGGAATGTTTTATTTTTTAGGTTTTGTGAAATGCCTACGAATAATTTCATTGAGAGCTCCTTTTGGAATTTTGATGCTCTTTTCCAGCCTCAGCAGCACCCTGTCGGTGATGCTCACAACACATTCTTTTTAAAAGGTAAAGCAGAAATAATTTTTTCTTTAGTATTCCTTTAATTACAAAATCATTTTATTTATTCTAGATCCCCAGTTTTCCTATGATTTCCCTACCGAATATTTAGAGAGAGTGAAGACCATGCACCAGACAGGAGGACATGGATCAATAGGGTAGGAACTGCTAGTGTGTGTGCTCTATTTTCCTGTAGTGTATTCATTCATTGACACACATCCCAGCCTCAGTGACATATTTTATGGCCCCAAATTTTCCCTCCTCCTACATGTATATAACCTAGCTGCTACATGTACTGTACATATACATGTACATGTGTGTATATGTAGATTCATTTAAGTCACACACTACTTTACTGCATTTACCGATGTTACCGCACAATTATATTAATGGTAATACATGTACATGTACACATGTACATGTAGCATCTGTTTATTTATGTTTTCTTTCTCACTTTCCTCTTCTAATACTAGTTATCAATATGACTGGAAGTTAGAGGAAGCTCAGAAGAACATTCTCTGGACTCACACTACTGCTGTTAGCACGAATGCTCTACAAACTTGGATAACAAGTGGGTGTGGTTCATTCTCATAATTAATGAGCTACTAGTAAAAGCTGATTATAATAATTTTAATAATTTATCAGCTAACGATGAGTAGCAATATCAACCACTTTATATTATAACAGCAGGTGTGACTTTTATCACCTACTGTGTCGGAATAAAGTGAAAAATGTTTTTCTTGACATTTGAATACTTTTAATTATTTTTTTCGAGCTGTATAAATTTTTGTCCTTTACCTGTTCAATTTTGTAGAAGGAGTTCACTCCTGTTGAATATTTTTCAATTGATCGTGTTTTTCGTAACGAGATACTTGACACAACTCACCTGGTCGAGTTCCATCAGATAGAGGGTGTGGTTGCTGATTATAATTTAACCCTTGGGGACCTCATGGGAGTCCTGTATGCTTTCTTTAGTAAAATGGGTAAGTATTGATAATACAGTTACATGTTTACACCTCAAGGTGTAAAAAAGATGTCAGTGGATTTAATTGTATATACTTACATTTTGTAGTACCAATGCTCCAATAGTGCTGTTACTATAATGATCCTTGGACAGTCATATACTTTTAGTAAAGCTGGTCAAGTGGTATGCCATTCTTATAACATATAACACACATATCTCACACCATGGCAAAGCATGCATGTCACTGGCGGATCCAGAAAAATTAAAAGGGGGGTTCCATTTCACTTAAGTAGGTGTGGCTCATTAATTTTAATTAATAAAATGGAGGAAAAGTGCTGCAAACTGACTGCAAAGAATCCAAAGATACTACAAAAAGACAACTTCTTTAGCCAAAGAGGGGGTTCCATGGAACCCATGGAACCCCCCCTAGATCCGCCACTGCATGTTATGTGGGTTTAACAGCATCATGTCAGCATGATTTATGAGCTGATAAGCACTACAATGTATAACATTTAGAACAACTTTCAAAAATTAAATTTTGATTGCAGGAATCCACTACCGGTATAACTTTTTATACTACATAAGGACATGTATGTGTATCAAAAATAATTATAAAAATTAAGAATTCTCTTATATTTATTTTCGACAAAATTTGGCCAAAAACCATGCAAATCAGTGTAGGATCTTTAGTCAATATGACTCTAACAATCTACTGACAAGAAGCTGCACAATGTTAAAGTCCTGTGGGAAACCCTGTCATATTGAGTGTTTTATAGATAAAAATTGATCAGACTACAAATGGTGTGAGATATCGTGGAGGGATTGTGTGCCCATCCTGTGTTGAGATATGCTATGTGAGTACTGAGTACAGTATATTTGAATTTTTTACTTTATTTCTTAAATGTTTTTGCAGGATGATTTTACAAATTGCCCTGAAGCAGGTAAAAATTATAAAATCCACCATGCATTATTTGTATCATTCAGCTAAACTATATATAGAGAGTTAGCAAGTCCTACTCCTAGTAAAAGTGTTGGAAATCCTACTTCTTCTACTGCTAGTGTTCAAAGTTCCACTTCTTTTACAGTTACTGTTGCGAGTCCAACTTCTTCTACAGTTACTGTTGGGAGTCTAACTTCTTCTATAGTTAGCGTTGGAAATCCCACCTCTACTGTTAGTGTTGGAAGTCCCACTCCTGCAACTGATAGTGCTGGGAACCTGCTGCCAATGGTGAATCTTCTTTTTGCAGCTAATTTTGCTTCATTCATTATTAACTATTAAAACTTTAGTCGTTATGTGCATGTGTGTGTTAGAGCAATTCTTTAGTAGATTTTTCTTCACCTTTATTCTAATGAATGCTTTAATGTTCTGATATAATTTTTTTGACTTGTGAGTAGATTCTATTTAGTATACCATTTGAGGCTATACGTATGATATACAGTGGTGAACATAGTGAAATGGTAATAAACGTAAGTAAAAGGTGGTAAAAATTGATATACAGTGGTAAACATGGGGGCACAGTGATTTAGAGTGTTAAACACAGGTAAACATAAGTAAAAAAAGATATAGAGTGGTAAACATTTGTACAAATAACTGACAATACAGTGGTAAACATTGATAAACATTGGTAAACAATGATATACAGTGGAAAACATAGGTAAACAGTGATATACTGTGTTAAACATTAGGCTAACAATGATATACAGTGGTAAACATGGCTAAACACTGATAAACTTTGACAATATAGTGGTAAAGACTAGTAGACATAGGTAAACGATGATATACAATGGAAAATATAGGTATACAGTGATATACAATGTATGCCTGTTTACTTATGTTTATTAGTGTTTAGCAATGTTTACCACTATCTACTTATGTTTAGCATCGTTTACTTATGTTTATTAGTGTTTAGCATTGTTTACCACTCTCTACTTATGTTTAGCATTGTTTACTTATGTTTATGATTGTTTAGGACTGTTTACCACTATCTACTTATGTTTAGCATTGTTTACTTATGTTTATGATTGTTTCGGATGACATAAGAGTTCTCTTCCCACACTGATGTTTACTAAATTAACAGTAAACTCTGGAGTTTGGCTAAATCATGGGTCTTAAATCAAGCCTTATCTCATCTCTTTTAATATAATCGGCTCTGAGTTTGAAAAGTACAGGCCAAAAAGAACAAGTTTAATTTGGGGAATATCAAGAAACAGCAATCAAAATTCTATAATCTAATGATGTAAAATTTTGCCGTAGTGTTGTTGTTGTTAGTTGTTTTTAGTTGCTAAGAAAAATTAATAATCCAAATTCCAGCAAATTTGGTGGTGCTGACATTGCATAACTGACACTGTGGCTCGCAGCTTTGAAAACTACCCATTGGCGTGTAAATTAATAATATAATAATTGTTTTTGGGTTCATGCCAAATTGTGATGTATTATGTAGCCTCAGGTCAGATTTGTACCTAAACCACACCTGCTAAGAAGCTTTGCATGCAATAAAATTGTGATGTGATCACATTGTAGCCTCCATAGTAGGCTATAGTGTAAACATTTTCATTAATGCCTGCACCTTGAACTGCGGGAACTCCCACCCAATAAAAGTTCATTTCAATGGTCTTTCATCACAAACCACACCTTACAATGCTTATAAAAACCACTCTGCATGCTCCTAGCTCATCAGTCATTGACTCTCAGCTGTATAATCTAGTACTTGAATTATATAATACCTGTCCACTGAATCCTCAAGACTGAAGTCATGGGTTGCTGCTGTTGTTCTCAGGTCCCAATATTAGATGATCCTACCATCACTGCTCATCTCAAAGTTGGTAGATTCATAGCAGTAAGGGGCTATACAACATACAGAAATGATGCTCCAGGCCTGTTGTACACAGATGGAGAGAATCTTTATTATGAACCTACTTGTGGTGACAAGAGAGCTAGTTGTTCTTTGTGCTTTATGTTTCGTCAACCATTGTCCAGCATAAAAGAAATCACTGTTGAGCAAGGTTCACAGGTTGTGGCCATTGGAAATGGAGTATTGGTTGGACCATTTCTTAAAGTGACTTTTGATAATGGAGTGATACTAGCCTCAGCAGCAGACATGGGATCATTCCCTCAGACTCTAGACAGCATGACAACAAAGACTATGAAGCCACCGGGATTTATTTGAATTATAAATATACTTCATTGAATTATGAACATACTCTATTGAATGTGTGTCTACAAACAACAAAATTCCCAAAAATCTTTACTTTATCGTTTTTAATAACTACATTTATTAACTATAATAACCATTAATTTAATAAATGGCCCCGCCTTGGGTGCTGCTAAAACCCGGAGCCGGATCCGGAGTCGGAACCGGAGATGAGTGCTAAAAACCGGAGTCCCGGAGCCGGAGATGAGTGGTAAGGTCTCAAAAGCTGACCGGACGGACCCGTGCGGACCATGTACGGAACGCACCGGCGGACCGAGTCTCAAGTGCGGACCATGTGCGGACCAAAACGGCGGACCGAGTCTCAAATGCTGACCGAGTATACGGGCCGCTAGCAGATGTAGGAGGAGCATAATACCGCGTGACACAACGTGGTTGCACATGAGATTATGGCTGTTGCTCGGGCTGTTGAACCTGCTTTTGAGAAAGTTTTTAATGACTTACCACATTCTAGAATTATAGAGTTACTGAATGCTCAAGGAAATTCCAGTGACTACTCTGTGTGTAATCTACCACCAGTAAAACCCAAAGCTGGGGATGTTTATGTTTTTGTCCCTTCAGACATCAGTGAACGTGGTATGTATAGCAATTTTTTATGCTAATAGTGTGTATTATTCAAATTAATATTTTTTAGATAACTGGAAGTGTGATCAAATGAAGTGGCGTCACAATGGGAAAAAAGAACTGAAAACAGTCCCAGTTATTACAAAGACGTACTATTTTTTTGTTAGTGCTGACGGAAAAGAAGACGGCTTTAAGAGATTGGTATATAAGCTTTTTGGGTAGCAACAACCATACTGTTGTGGTACACTATAAAGGGAATGAATCTATTGCTAATAGTACTACACCACATGTACGTACTCTTCCCAGCGTTATGAGGCAACTTGAATGTTCTGAAACAATACCTTCAGTTGCATACAAGCGAATGGTTGCTACATCAGGGCCTTCGCAAGATCATCTAGCTATACAACTACCGAAGAATCGGAAACAAATTAAGAATTTGCAAGCGAGGTGAGTTTCAAATTTGTTATTTTTATATATTTTTATTTATTTTTATATAGATTTCGTCAACGACTGAGAATATCACATGATGCACTTTACAATATACATGAATTGGCATATGATTTAGAGGATTTTGTTCATAAAGTGGTCACCTTTCCAGATGTTGTCATTGTATGCGGAATGAAACAGATGTTGTTAGAAGTTGAGAGGATTTTACAAGTTAGCAAATGTATTGTACTGTATGGTGTATACACCATATATTTCGCTGGGATTAAATTTTGCATTTTGGAAAAATTTACATAATTAAAATCCACAAAATAGCGTACTGATTGTATTGTAGGTGTGGTAATTACAGTAAAATCACGAAATTTTTATTCTCGAATACAAAAATGTAGCCAAATCGCGAAATTTTATACCACCGAAATAATTCTAGCAATTATTAACATAATTTAAACTTATATGTTACAGGTACAGACTCATGACTCACACGAGTATTCACAGCTTTTGTCATATGACACAACATTTAAATTGGGCGATTTCTATGTATCTCCATTGCTATTCAGAAATATTCTATTCGAAACGAAACCAGTTATGCCATCTTTATTTATGATTCACGAAAGGAAGTTGAAAGCCACTCATGATGAATTAATGAGAGTTGTATCGCAATTATTACCTTCCCTTGTTAATGGTTCCAATACCATTCCATTAGTAACTGATGATGAAAAAGGATTTGATGCCATAAATTGTCACCTTCATAAGGTCTGCAGACTGTACTGTTGGAATCATATCATCAATGCATCGAAGATTTGGTTGAGAGGTCATGGAGCTACTTCATCAGAGATACCCATCTATGTTAATAACATACGTAACTTGCTTCACCAGCCAAGTGAAGATGAGTACTGCAAGCTTTTGACAGAACTTAAGGGCAGTTGGAGTCAACCATTTGTAACATATTACATGTCAGAGATTCATAGCAAGGTAATTTAACCATAATTATGGCTGATTTTTAATTGATATCACACTTATAGGTCAAGCACAGTGGTCGGTGGGTTCTTGATAGGCTTCATGTCTATGACCCGATTAGTGGAGTCACCAGCAATCAGTCGGAAGGGTTTAATTCGGTACTAAAGAGAATACAAACCTGGAAGGAAATTCCAATAGACACGGCTCTATTGTCACTGTACCATCTTCAAGTATTCTATTGGAATGAATGGCAGCGTGGGTTAGCAGGTAACTTAAGTTACATCATTGTTCCTCCTAATTCATCACGAATGTATTAGGCTTAGGAGAGTATCGACTTTGTAATCGATTTATTATAGCAAGAATAGACAAAGAGGATATTTTCTTGATACCAACTATTAGCTTAGAAGATATTGTGAAAGCAGCAAAAGAAGGGGGACCTAGACATATTTATCAAAATTTAGTAGAAGATAATGAAACAACAGAAAAGTAAGTAGATGAGTGAAAGTAACGAAAGTATGCTTGTAATTTTTTAACTTTAGCTCAAATGAATCAAATGGAAGGGAAGAAACTGCGAATAATCCTGAAATGATGAGTGAAGATGAAAGGTATGATCACTATATATTATGCATGTTTTTAAGAAAATATTTTCTATTTGTAGCTGCCCTCAGACTCCTGTGGATAATTCATTACGCGATGCAGATGATGGAATAGTTCAACAATCTCAGATTGTTCGTGCTGAGTAAGGCACAGTGTGCATAAGATCCGTAACATTTTTCACACCAGGTTGCTTGTTAAAAATGGTTTGTTATCACATGATCCTAAGGTTGGCTCCTTCACTGTAACTGGCTCTTCAGGAAAGCTTCATGTTGTGAGGTTATTCCCTTCTGAGTATTGTTCGTGCCCTTCCACTACAACCTGCTACCATATTCTTGGTGCTAAACTCAGTTTGGGAATTCCTATTAAAAAGGATATGAAACAAGTCAATCTTTCACAGTTACGTTGGAACAAAAGAAGTAAAGGCCAAAAGAAATGTGGTCGGAAAAGACCTCGTCCAGGTATTGATAAGATGTAATGCCTCTTTTATCTATAATATCAAGGTGATAATGATGTTGTAGTAACTCCTGCCCCTGATTCACAGGTACACACAACTAATTTAACAATGCTTGCTGCAATCGATTTTTATGAAATGTCATTGCAATATACTTCTAATCTTTATAGAATTGGGAGGAATCCTCTGGTTTACCACGTAAAAGTTTAAAGATAAGTGGACAGGTATGTACATGGATTCTTACATTCAAATGTATTTATTGATAACAATAATAAATCTTGATAGGTATCAATTACAGAAAGTAATGCTGTTGAACAAATAGAGGTACAAGGATTGAATCACATGTGGATGGGATAGCAAAAACTATAACAATACTTTTTCTTCTAGGTTAATTCTGCTGCTGAAAGAAGTATAAATGTCTGTGAAGAATGCAATGAAGTTAATTTATTTAATAGCCATTATGAATATATTTGCCTTTTCTCTTCAATATGCAGGTAGAAGGGAATCAGAACAGCAATCAAAACAAGT